CATGATATATTTTTGGAGAATGGTCCAATTGCTTTTGAAAAGACTATTGTTGGGTTGAATGTTTTGTATATGGCTTTAGATCCATTTGGTCTATAATGTTCAAGAACATTGTTTTTTGAAACAAAAAAAAAATGAGACCTAGCTCTCCTTCCTCAGTTATTATACCCATTATTGAAAATGGGGTATTTAAGTCTTCTTCTCTTATTATTTAATAGTATTCTTCTCCCTTCATGTCAGTCAGTGCTTGATTCATTTAGTTTGGTGCTCATATCTCTAAAGTTGTGTACATATATTTGTAATTGTTATGCCTTCCTAGTGGATCAACTTTTTTTCACATTATAACATCCTTTTTTGTTGCTTGTGTCAGGTTTTGTTGTTTTGCTATTCTTGTTGTTTGGGGTTATGGGTCTCAAAACCAGGACCTCACACATGCTAGGGAAAAGGCTCTACCATTAATCTACATCCTTAACTCTGTTGTGACAGTTTTTGATGTTTATTTTGTCTCAAAAAATAAAATATAAAAAGGGCTGGGGATATGGTTCAGTGGGTAAGCAACAGTGTGTTCAATTCCTGGTACAAAAAAAAAAAAAAGTTTATTTTGTCTGAGAGAAATATACACACTCCTGGTGGTTTTTTGTTGGTTTGTTTGTTTTGGGGTTTCTTTTGGTTGTCATTTGGATGAAATATTTTTATATCTCCTTAATTTCAGTATACATAGGGAAAGATTTACTTTAATTATTTTGCTAGTTGTTTTTTTTTTTTTTTACTTTGTACTTCTTTTGTTGATCCTTTCATATCTTGCTGTCATTTTCTGTTTCAATGTTTTGCTTTTGTTACTTTATTAGTATGGTTTCATTCCTTTTATGTTTTCTTCTTTTGCAAACTTTCAGGGTTTTGTTGTTGTTATTTTATATTGTTTTGGTTCTTTTATATGTATGCAGGACAGTATAATTCATTTTGACATAATTATAAAGCATGGAATACATCTTGTTCTAATTCAGTCCCCAATACCTTTCCTTCCCCTTCCCTCCACACTCTAGCCCACTCTGTTCCTTTTAGTGTTCTTTCTGCCACTTACCCATAGTTATTTTTTAAATTAGCTTCTTGTGGATATACATGATGGTGAGATTCACTGTGATGTATTCATATATGTACATAGGAAATTATGTCAGATTCATTTCACTGTATTTCCTTTTCCCATTCCCCCTCCCTTTACTTCATTTCCTTTTGTCTACTCCACTGAACTTCTATTCTTTTCCCATTTATTGAGGATTAGCTTCTATATATCAGAGGAAACATTTGACCTTTGGATTTGGGGGGATTAGCTTATTTCACTTAGCATGATAGGCTCCCTACATCCATCCATTTACCAACAAATGCCATAAAGTCATTCTTCTTTATGGCAGAGTAATACTCCATTGTGTATATATTCCACATTTTCTTTATCTATTCTTCTGTTAAAGGACACCTAGGTTGGCTCCAGAGCTTAGCTATTGTGAATTGTGCTTCTGTAAACAATGATATGCCTTCGTCACTATAGTATGCTGATTTTAAGTCCTTTGGATGTATACCTAGAACTGGGATAACTGGTTCAAATGATCGTCCCATTTCTAATTTTGGAGGAATCTCCATACTGCTCTCCAGAGTGGTTGCAAATTTGCAATCCCAGGAACAATTTATGAGTATACCCTTTTCCCACGTCTTCATCAACATTTGTTGTTACTTATATTCTTGATAATTGACATTCTGACTGGAATAAGATTAAAATCTCACTGTTTGGGTGTTAAGTTTTTTGAGTTCTTTGTATATCCTGGATATTTATGCCCTATCTGAAGTACAGGTGGTAAAAATTTTTCTCCCATTTTATAGGCTCTCTCTTCACATTTTTGATTGTTTCCTTTGCTGTGAATATATTTAGTTTGGTACCATCCCATTTATTGATTCTTGATTTTACTTTTTGTACTTTGGGAGTCTTCTTAAGGAAGTCAGACCCTAAGCTGATACATTGGAGCATTGGGCCTACATTTTCTTCTAGCAGATGCAGGGTTTCTGGTCTAATTTCTAGTCTTTGATCTATTTTGAGTTGAGTTTTTTTGGAGGGTTAGAGATAGGAGTTAAATTTTATTCTACTACATATGGATTTCCAGTTTTCCCAGCACCATTTGATGAAGAGACTATCTTTTCTCCAAGGTGTGTTTTTGTCACCCTTGTCAAGTATACTACCGAAATGCTTCATCGATTCAGTGCAAGTCCCAATGACATTCTTCATAGAAATAGAAAAGGCAATCATGAAATTCATTTGGAAAAATAAGAAGCCCGGAATAGCCAAGACAATCCTTAGCGGAGGAAGCAAAGTAGGAGGCATTACAATATCAGACCTTAAATTATACTACAGAGGTATAGTGACAAAAACAGCATGGTATTGGCACCAAAACAGGCATGAAGACCAATAGAATAGAACAGAAAACACAGGGACAAACTCACATATATACAATTATCTCATAGGTATTTTCTTTGTGGTAACCATTGAGTTTACATAAAATATGTGTCTATTTTAAGCAAATAACAACTTCAACATTATATAGTTTTCTTCCACTCTTATATTATTGGTATCCAAATTTAAATGTAAATTGTGTCTATTAATTGTTTATACTTATTTTAATATTTATTCTTTTAATTTATACTAGAATTAAATGCAATTTACTTACCAACAGGAAGATAATATAGTATTCTATATTTGTCTAAATATTTACCTTTGCTAAGTTTTATGCCTTCTTATTCTCTTTCACTTCAACTTAAAGAAGGAAGGTCTATGGTAATAACTCCCTCAGCTTGTTATTGTTTATTATTTTTTAGTTGTAGTTGGACATAATACCTTTATTTTATTTATTTTTATGTGGTGCTGAGGACCGAACCCAGCACCTCTCATATGCTAGGCAAGTGCTCTACTGCTGAGCCACAGCCCCAGCCCTCCCTCAGCTTTTATTTGTCTGTGAAAGGTACTTCCTTTCTCTCTTTTTTCCCATTTTTTAATTATTTTGTTTTGTTTTGTTTCTGGCTCTGGGGATTGAACCCAGGGGCATTCTACCACTAAGCTATATCCCTCTCCCTTTTTATTTTTATTTTTCAAGAGGGTCTTGCTAAGTTGAACAGGCTGGTGTCAACCTTGCAATTCTCTTGCTTCAGCCTCCTGAGTCACTGAGATTACAGGCATATGCCACCTCACCTGTCCATTTTTCTTTCTTTCAGTTTTGGAAGAGAGTTTTGTCTCAATAGCATTCTTGGTTGACCGTTTTTATTTTTTTTCCTTTCAGCACTTTTAATATATAATCCCACTCTCTTCTCACCTGCTAAGTTTTGCTAAAAACATCTTATGGATGTTTCTCTTTCATGAGATATGTCATTTTTTTCTCTTGCTACTTTCAAAATCCCTCTTTGCTTTTGACTTTTGACAATTTGATTACCATATGTCTAGTGTGGACTTTTTTTCATTTTTAATGTTTTTATTAGTGCACTATAGTTATACATAATTTTAGGGTTCATTTTGTCATATTGACAAATGCATATAACCTAATTTGATGGATTTCTTTGGGTTCATCTTATTTGGGTTCTTTGGGCTTCTAAGATCTTTAATTTGTGAAGTTTAAGCCATTATTTCTTTGAATATATGGTCTGTCTTCTCCTAAAACTTCCATAATGCATATATTGGTTCACTTCATGATATTCCATAGGTTCCTTAACCTGTCTTCCCTCTTTATTAAAAAAAATATTTTTAGTTGCCAATGGATTTTTTATTTTATTTGTTTATTTATATATAATGCTGAGGATTGAACCCAGGGCCTAACACATGCCAGGCAAGTGCTCTACAACTGAGCCACAACCCCAGTCCCTGTCTTCCCTCTTTTTTGTTTCATTTTTTTTTTCTTTTTTTTTTTTCTCCTGACTGGATAATCTCAAATAGTCTGTCTTTGAGTTTGCTGATTCTTTCTTTTGCTTCTTCCATTCTGTTGTTGAACTTCTATATTGAATTGTTCATTTCAACTATTCTTCAGCTTTAAGACTTCTGCTTTTTTGAATTATTCTCTTTGTTGAAAAGCTCACTTTGTTCTTGGATTGTTCCCTAGATCCTTATGACCCTTTATATAATTATTATTTTAAATTTTCTTTTGTATAATTAATATATTTTCACTTCATTAGAGTCAGTCTCTGGAGTTTTAGCTATTTCCTTTGTTTGGATTTTTGCCTTTTTTCTTTATTTTCCTTGAATATCTTCGTATCCTCACATTAGGGGAAAAATCCCTACTTCTTCAATTTGTGTATAGACCTTCATCAGTCAGTGAGGCCAGAACTTCTGTGTACCTCTTAAATCTTTGTGGTGGTCTAAACGATTGTTTTTGTTTTAGTGGCCGGCCCCCAGATATCTAGAGTATAGTCAGTTTCATCAGTGCCCCTAGACACATTTTCATACAGATGCCATTCCTTTAGTAGCTCCTGGAGAAGTTGGAATGCTGGTTGTATAATCTATCTCTTTTCCTCCCCTCAGAGAAGCTAGGAGCCAGGATTTTAAACAATTCCCATTTTCTTGAGCTTTTAATCCCAGGGCAGGATCCTTGGTGCATACCTGCATGGTAGTTCAAGCTGCCACTTTGTTCTCTATCATCTGTGGGATATCATATGCCAGACCCAGTCAGCTCTCTGAAACAGTTGAGAAAAAAATCCAGTCTTTCAGGTTGCTCCTAAAAAAGTTGGAGTATTAGATATGTACTCCAGTTCCTTCTTTCCTCAGATAGAAGCTGACACTTGGAGTTCTGTCTGTATCCTATAGTACTGTGCTAGGAGTGGGGATTAGTATGTCTTGTCTTTAAGGTCATCAAAATTATATTACTTTCGTATTTTCCCACCTAATATTTTCTTTACAAAATGAAAATGTTGGTAATCAGTTCCTCCAGCTAAACTAACCCACTAACCCACTTTTCTTTTTTTATTTTTGTCTATTCAAGGTTCTGGTGTGGGATGTATAACCGCTTTGACAAAGGCCTGCAGCCCAAACAGAGTATGCTAGAGAGCCTCCTGGAAATTAAGAAACAGAGAGCAATGCTTGAAGCAGATGTGTATGAACTAGAAAAGGTAAGGAGAATGGTCTCAAAAAAGAGATTCTCTTGCCCCTTATTAGTAGGTCTAGTCTGTTTGGAGTTGAATTGATACTTATAGAATGCTACCTGGCTGGCTTATTATACTCTCTGACTTCTAAGTGTCCTGTGTCTAAAAAGCTCAGGATATAATGCCTTTTGTTTCCATACCATGATAATTATCTCAATGAGCTAGTTAAACAAGTAGATTGGTTTTTTATTTGTATCTGGACAGAATGATTAGGTGGAACAAGAAGGAATAACAAGAAATCAGTTTGGGGCACTTTATATATTGTATTTCCTTATATCCTTTAAAGAAACTTGTTAGGTATGGCTTCTGTTTATAGAAGAAATAGAAATTTAGAGAACTAAAGTAACTCAAATTCATATACTTATAAGTTGAAAACTAGGGTCTATCCTGCATCTTCTAACTGGCAAAGTCTTTCACCTGTCTACTACCTCATGCTCTGTCTAAAGGATATTTTCACTTTCAGGGATAGAACACTGATATATTAATACTTTACAACAGTGATTCTTTGAATCATACACCCCTTTAAAATATGAAGACAGTGGCAGATATTTCCCTCGAAAACTTTGGTATATACGTGCATTATACAAGTACATGCAATTTTAAGCATAATTTAAGGGGGTCAACAGACTCTGAAAGCCCATCTATGAGTTTATGAACTCCAGTAAGAGCTTTTGCCTTATTGTACAAGAATATAATTTTTATTTTACTGGAACTCATAAAATCACAGTGATTTGTAATAAAAATGGTGATAATCCTTGGAGAGAGGTATTGTATAGTTTCATTTCAACATTTCATTTTATATTTTATTGTATTCTATATTTTCTATCTTTACAGTTTTATTGCCTTTTAAAAACATAGCAACAGAGTTGTCTGAGTGATAATATTAAGCACCATTTTAGTTTTTCTTCTCTGTATTGAAAAAAGAAAGTAACCTAAAAACACACACACACACACACACACTATATACACACACACACACACACGTGTGTGTGTGTGTGTGTGTGTGTGTGTGTAACCTTTACAGGAAAACTTCACAGAGTGATCTGAGCCTACTGGAATGAATGAGTCTCTCTCAGGAATCAGAGAAATCAGTTAAGGATAAGTGAGAGGGCTAGATTCAGAAAAGGATAACTGTTCTGGGTGGGACCTTTTGGAAAAGTCTGTGAATAATTAAAAGGGGAGGAAGAAACCCTAAGAAATTTCCCTACTTCTCAATTCTGTTTAGAGCTGCTTGTTTCCTATGATTTTAAATCATGCTTGAGTTCCCCCTTTGTTTTTGTTTATTTTTAATGCAACCAAGTAGCTGGCTATTGGGGCCCAAGAATGCTTTCAAAAGTTTGGGATCTGATACAATCACAAATAAAATTGGATACAATCACATGTGAAAAATGTATTTTCACAATAAAAGGATATTCACTTACTTATATGGAGCAAAAAAATATCTGACTTATCTGGCCTAAATGGGTTCACACCAGGTTCCTAAACAACACACCCTTTCCAAGAATTCTTTTCTAAAATGTATCCCTCCCCTCTGTCCTTCAAATAAACCCTTAGGGACCCTAGATTTCATAAGCAGCTCAGAATTTTGAATATTTTGAAAAGAGATCCTTGTTGATGTGTTTAATGTATAATTAAAAACAAGTGTCCATCTTTGGTTCTTCTGGTATTGTAAAGCCAAATCAACAAACATAATACAGCTATTCAGTGATCAGAGTTTGCAGTCTGCATGGGAAGGAAATAAAAAAATCTTCTTTGATAACAATTTTCCTAATTGGAAATATACCAATTTCATTGTTCTTATAAGTATACTCAAGGTGTTATAGTTATTCTATTGGTGAATGACAACTGACAATGTGATTTCCCTGTCACTTATTCCCTTTGTTCCACCTAATCATTTCCCCAAGATCCAGATGCAGGGTCAGACCCCAACTTTCCACTTTCTAAATAAGTGAATTTGAGTGACATGCTTTAACTTCTCTGAGCCTCAGTTTCCTCATTTGTAAAACACAGGTATTATTTAATAAACTAATGATTTTCTTATATAGAAAGGAAATATTTTATGTAAAGTGCCTATTTACATGGAGGCATGTAACATTAGTGATCTTCTCCTTTGCCTTCCTCAATCCCAGAAATAAATTGAATTTATAATATTTATCATAAAAGAGAACTTTTATACATATGACTTTTGAGTTTCTTTTCTGATAGAACTTTTTAAAAGCACAATGACAAGTTATGAAGAAAAGATGTTTGAGAGGGCGGGCGCAAACAATAATTTTCTACCATAAAAGTGATAGCAGCAAGATCCTTGCTGGTTGATGTGATATTTGCCCAGATTTTTGTTTCCTGTTTCTAATTCTTTTCAACCATTCCTTGCTCCTGAAACAGAAACTGAAAGCCCATGATGAGCCACCAGAAGAGGTCTGTACCTGCTCTCAATTAGGGAATTTACTGTGCCAGCATCTAGGAAGTCCTTTGGCCAATCCTCTGGGCTTTATGGGTATTGATGGAGACCTAAATACATTGATGGAGAATGGCACTCTGTCCAGGGAAGCAGGCCTCCGAGCTCAGATGGATCAAGCAAAAAGCCAGTGTACAGACCTCCGCCATGACTGTTGTGGGATCATAGGTAGCCTTAGGGCCATAAGTATCTCTGAGGATGTGCACATCTCTGGAGACATAGGCACCTCTGCAGCCACAGGTATCTCTGGTGATATGGGCATCTTTGGGGCTATGGGCTTCTCTGAAGATGTGGGCATCTCTGAGGTTACTGACATCCCTGGAAAAATGAATATTTCTGAGGCCACGGGATTCTCTGGAGGCATGGGTTTCTCTGATGGCATAGGCACCATGGAGGACTTGGGCTTCTCTGAAGACACAGATATCTCAAAGGTCAGCACCAAGGAGTCAGGCTACTCTAAGCAACAGTGATCTAGCTACTCATATGCTTCTCTGCTAGGGGCACCTGTAGCAACCACAGAGATCTTTGTTCCATACAGGGCTATGCTGCTTTTCTGGTTGGTTTAAATGTGTGAGACCAGGGTACCCTTTTTCCTACTTAGAGTCTGGAAAAAGACTTAGGGCCTTTACTGATTAAATGATCGCTATACACATGTTGTTAAGCAGTCCAGAATATGAGAAAATATGTTATTGTTATAAAATGGGATTTAACTTTAGAAATATTTCCCTTTAGCTGCTTATTAGGCTGGTTATATTATTTTCCTTAACAATCAGCCTCTCTTTCCACCCTTGCTTCTCTAACCTGAGAGCACAGTAGAAAATCACAATCCAGTTGAAGGGATAGAGAGATGTTATGCAACAGACAACTGAATTACAGAATTTTATAAAAATGTACTCTCAGATATGCCTAGTCATGGGATGCTAATATTGCCAATAGAGACCCCAACATTTGTGTGATAATAAATCAAAATGATCCTTAATTGTTAGCATGAGTGCATGGGTGCTTGGAGGTTTAAAATATACAAAGAATGTTTTCTTAAGCTATAACAGTTGCTCTCCCCAGCCCACACCCCAGCTTGGTCTCATTATAATACTCATCTAGCCAATCTGCTATATTGTAGATATCCTGTAGGTAAATTTGAGTCCATTACAGGCTAAAATGATCAATTACAAATTAACAGGGTCTGAGTTAATACTGCTTAATAGCATTCTCAGCATCAGTTCAGAAAGCAACTGATAATCTGAGTGCTCTGTCCCTGTCTAAGACATGGTCTGTGTGCTTATCTGGGATTTTTTTTTTAAACAGGCCCCTTCTTAGGATTTTTTTAAAGAGAGTGAGAGTGAGAGCAAGAGAGAGAGAGAGAATTTTTTAATATTTATTTTTTAGTTTTCGGTGGACACAACATCTTTATTTTTTTTTTTATTTTTATGTGGTGCTACAGATCGAACCTAGCACCCCGTGCATGCCAGGTGAGCGTGCTACCACTTGAGCCACATCCCCAGCACAGGATTTTTAAAATAAAGACCAGTTGTTTTGCTTATGGAGATGTTACATAAAACTTGTGGATTTTTGGATACAATCAGCACTGTTTTTTAAATCTCATAGGTTTCTCACCTTATACACTTTTAAAAAAAGTCTATTCTTAGAGCTGGTCCACATACTCCCATGGGCAAGGGTATATTCTTGTTGTCTAAACACAAGATTTTCCCCTTGGTGTTGGTACATTTGTTGGTTTTTCATCTTCCCTATTGGATATTCAGTCATAGTTTTGCCATTTCCACATGCTGGGGGTGGGTAGGGTAGGCCTTAGGCAATTAAAAAAAATAATTGTCAGTTGGCCATTATTTTATTTATATGTGGTGCTGAGACTCAAGCCCATTGCCTCACACATGCTAGGCAAGCTCTCTACCACTTGGCCTCAGGCAATTTTAATCATGATCTACATATAGTCAATATTTCCAGAACTACCAAGGCCAATGGAATCCACATCTTTAACCATACTATCTATTCCAAGTACTCTGTATCTGGTTTCAGCTCAAAAATTCAATTTCTGTTGACTATCAAATCAATTTGTGAATACATAAAGTATCTAAAGGATCACATTATTAGGTGCTTTTCTCTGAAAGAAAGAGGTGCCTTTCAATTTAAGTATGTAATTAAATAGCAGAAGACAGTCACCAGAGTAGCTCCTTGATTTCTTACATAGAGCTATTTGATGGACCCAAAACAACTTTCCTTTTCAGAGGAAAAATTCGAAATCATTTTGGTTGTCTTTTTTCATATTTTAAATGAGAATCATTTTTCTATTTACCTCCTCTTGGTAGCTGTTTTAATTCTGTGTATTTAAAGAACTCTAATTTGTGTCTTTCCCATTCATAAATAGGGACCATTTTTCTACTTACCTCTTCTTGATAGTTGCCTTGATTATATAATTTTAAAGCAACAAGATGTATCTTCTCTGATCCCCTTCTTTCTATAATTTGGTCTTTGGCTCATACAACCTAAATTA